GATGATGATGATGATGATGATGATGATGATGATGATGATGATGATGATGATGATGATGATGATGATTTTGATTATGATTTTGGTTCTGATTATGATGATGAAGATGTATCTCCTGATAGAAGCATCAACATCTTCCACTGTCGTCTGGAGATGCAGGACCTCTCAGTTTATCAGGAGATCCAACAGTTCCTGAAATCAGGGAAGGAGCTTTCAGAGATCCAGTGCTCAGCTCTGGTCTACATGCTGCAGATGTTAGAGGTGCTGGATGAGTTAGACCTGGAGAAGTGCAACACATCAGGTGGTGGACGACATAGACTGGTTCCAGCTGTGAGGAACTGCAGAAAGGCTCGGTGAGTCCAGATGTCTTCATGAGGTGATGCTGATGCAGCTCTATTGTCCTCCTGGTTCTTTTTCATGGTTCTAGTTGCTTCTGGACATTTTTGCTCTTTAACTTCTTCCTTCATCCTTTGGACCATTTCAACCATTCAAACATCTCCTTCAGGACAGCTCTGCGGGAGCTTTTGCTGTTTAGAGATTTGGATCAAATTTAAAATTTTCTACTTTGGATCAGTTTCCATCTTCCATTGAAATGAATAGAAAACCTTCAGATTGTAGAAAATCTGTGTTTCCTCTAAAGATCCAATCAGCCAGAGATCCACCAGAACCTTTAAACTCCTCTTCACTCATTGGGCTATTAGTCCAGAATTCACCTTTTTAGTCTCTGAATGTTTTTATAAAATCAATGTTTAGCTTTGATGGAAACTTGGATCATTATGATCAATCCCTGCATTGCTGCTGTTGCCATGGAGATGAGTTGTTTGGATTTAGAACCAACTTTTCCTCTTGCCACAGATTTCCCTCTGAATCTGTATGTAGCCCTGTGCTAATTTTTGGTTTTATTTTGATACATGGGATGGTTTCATTTCATTAAGGTTTTAGAGTGTAACTATGTCACAAATGTTTAAAAAAACGTTTTAAATGCAATTCCAAGCACTAGTAATGTCCCTATGTCTAATTTTTGTGTTTTATATATCTTTGTATTTTATTTCTGTTTGTAATACTTGCTAAATTATTTTACAAGTTTCTGATTGGTCAAGGATCCGGAAAGGAGAGTGAAAAAAAAGTATGTGTAGATGGAAGGATGGTGAAGGAGACAGCCTGCCCGGAAGTCCAAACTTTTCCAGGCTTTGGGAAAGTATCTGCAGCCAAGTGTTCGGCTAGGACACAATATATTGCAGTGGACTTTAGTGAGGTGCTCCGGGACACTTTCCGTTCGGTCTATTGGAGAAGCCAAGAGTTAAACCTGTGGAAATCTACACGTGACCAGTGCGCGAGCACGCCAGGTTCCAAGGCAGTGAGGAGGGTCGGCTACCACGGTGGTGAGCTTCTATGGAGAGATATTTGAGCATGCAGGAACCAATCCGAGCACACAGTGAGACAAGACGCGCGCGCGCTGCTGTTTCTCCGCTCGCTTATGTAAATTAACCATAAATGAACCTGAAATATCCTCCTTATTCTTCTTTTAAAACTGCAAATTTAAATCCATGTCAATAGCAGGTAAAAGAGATGGATGAGGCAATGATCTAATAACTGTTTTACTGAAGTTTATTTGAGATAATTCCAGATATTTTATAGTACTATCTTCTGTCCATCAAATGGTTAGGAGTGTTGACCAAATAACTGCAAGAGTTGTTTGATTTTCCTGATTGTGTTTTTATTTTATTTTTTTCATTTAACCGGATGTAGTATTTGGAACGAATGCTTACGTATTGATGAACTGTAAAACATCTGAACCTGAAAGGGAGAAATTGAGAAGAGTAGTTGAAAGGACAGGCCAGGAATGGAGTCTTAAAGGATTATTGGGAAATAAAGGAAATATAAAGGATATTTATAGATCAAGGAAAGCATTACTTGGTTATCTTCAGAATACAAAATTAAAAAATAGAATTTAATAGATGTAAAACAATGTTGCTACACACTCATGAACAGTAGGTGGCGGTATGCACCTTAAAGTTGCTTGCAATCCGCCATGATAGAAAAGAAGAAGAGGAAGGAACGAATGCTTTCATTGGATGAAAAGAAGCTGAGCTTGATTGGCTGATGGTTTGGTTCATTTACATACATTGCTGAAGTAGCGAGCGCAGAGAGTCGAGCGAGCGGAGAAACAGCCGAGCGCACAGATGATGTTGAGCGCGGAGAGAGCAGGTCGAGACGGATTCGAGCACGCGCAGAGATGAAACTGAGCACAAGAACAGTGTGTTGAGAGGGTTTTTCAGAGTTGAGCGCTGTTGTCTCACTGCGCGCTCGGATTGGCTCCTGCACGCTCAAACCGATGGCACAAATATCTCTCCATACCGCTGCGTGGTTAACCAGGGAGCCCGTGAACTCTACTCTTCTTTTCTACTCTACTCATCTGTGCCACGGTCGGGTACCAAACTCAGTTTCTTTTTATTTGCTCATTGAGTGAAGCGGCCAGTGTTTAGTTTTCGGGCCCTACGCACCCAAGCGACGTTCAGGGCTGCAACGGGGTATTTTCTGGGTTTAGTTATAGTGAAAGCCGGCATAGCTTAGGTTATTTACTGGTGACTTTGATTTTGCATTTGGACTAAGTGTTTGTTTACGACATTGAAAGTGACTGGACACTGAGTGTTTAAATTTTGAACTTTGAAAAGTATTATTTTTCCAGTTTAAAGAGTAATCAGTTAAGTTGAAATGAGAACTTGAAATATCAAGTTTCTGTATTCATTTTAAGTGTGCATCGCTTGGAGAGCTTTGTGAATTTATTTTGAGCTTTGATCCCACTATTATGAGTGAGTGTTTTTGATTTATTGAGCCACAAGTGTGTTCCGCATTTTATTTAAATTATGTAATTTCATTTAACCCTTATTTTTTAGTAAAAAAAAGTAAACAGACATTACATCTTGCAATTCATTATTTCATTGTGATATTCTTATTGGGTTAAAAAAATATATATTTACAGGAGTTTCTCAAAGGTGCTCATAACCAAACCGATAAAAACGACTGCAGTTTTATCACCTTTTAATGATAGGAACTCAGGGCGCCCCATATTTAGTTTGTTTGCAGGTTTTCAGAGGTTTTGCCAGTGAGGTAGGCAAAGGGGCGCTACATGTAAATTAGAGCCAAAATGTGTTGATTTGTTTGGTTTCAGAAAATGTAATTTCTGTAGGGATCCTAGTTTCTGTCAGATCCTCCCAAAGCTCTGAGAACTCTGCTTCATCTGCAGCCTTTGTTGAAGCTGTTAGATGTCCTCCATAAAGACCTGCAGGGACGTGAGCTTTAACCCTTTAGACATTCCAGCCTCTTCTAATTACTGGGAGAACTTTCACTGCTTTCACATGAAAAATGCTGCTTGACCCAAACGCTCTGTCTCCTCCCAGAGGTTTGGGCCTTGATTGGTTTAATATCAAACCCACATGCAGAACACAACGGAGGCTGGGTAAAAGTTT